CGTTTCAGCGGGCCGTAAATGATAGAATGAAGAGTCTTCCCTGTTCTTTCTCTGATAGTGAAGTGGAAGTGATGTACAACACCTTCGTGGCGTTAGTGGTGGACTCCCTTGAGGCTTCGACCTCGAGGACAGTCCACTCCACGAGAAACAAACCTCAGGTTGTCCGTCCTCCGTGTCTTTGGTGGTCCGCAGAGTGTGATAAGCTTATTCGCCTTCGTAGGGCAGCTCTCGCCAAGTTCAAGGTTACTGGTCTCCGTGAGGACTTCCTGTCGTATAAACGGCAGGTTGCGTCCACCAGGAAGGGTCTTCGGTGTGTTAAACAGGAAAGTTTTCGAAAGTTTTGCGCTGGTTTGCGCAAGAATACCAGCCCGACCTACGTCTGGAATATCGTGAAGCGTTTCAGTTCCCGATGGAACAGAACAGGGATGGACAAGGCTTATTCTGAGGAAAGGGTGGATAGAGTCCGCTCTCAGGTTGACTCTTTGTGCCCTCCCTGGGTGCCAGTTTCTTTGTTATCTTTTTCGTATGAGTGCCTTGATTCCTTCTTGGATCAACCATTCTCTTCGGAGGAACTCGACGCAGCTCTTGAGAGCGTTAACATTCGTTCTAGCCCGGGTTTGGATAATGTGGATTACTTTGTGTTACGTAAGTTACCGGTGATGGGCCGTTGTTTTCTGTTGAATTTGTATAACGCTGTGTTTAGCTCGGGCTGTTTCCCGACAGCCTGGCGACGCTATTTAGTCTTCTTTATACCAAAGTCAAGTGGGCCAAAACTCTGTCCCATTTCTCTGGCCTCGTGCCTTTGCAAGACGTTTGAGAGAATGACTGTTAATCGCCTCAACTGGTGGCTCGAGTATCATAGAAAGTTACCCGGATCACAGTTCGGCTTCCGCAAGCAGCGCTCGTGTATTTACAACCTGTCTATTTTGTATAGTGAGATAATGAAAGGCTTTCAGGAGGATACAGCCGTCTCGGCTGCCTTTCTGGATATTCAGTCGGCCTACGATAACGTTCTTCCAGACGTCCTGGTTGAGAAGGTGGTTGCTCTTGGAGTTCCTCCTCGTACGGCCCGGTTCATTTTCAACCTTACGTCTGAGCGTCAGGTTACGTGCAGGTTTGGAGATCTCGAAGAAGTACGTTGGGTTTATAAGGGCCTTCCTCAGGGTAGTGTTCTTAGTCCGCTGCTTTACACAATCTATGTCGCCCAGCTGGACCGGGCGGGCTCGTCCAGGTGCAAGGTGCTCCAATACGCCGATGATGTTTGTGTGTACACCTCAAACGGGGATGTTAGAGCTGGACTTCGTGAGTTGGAGGAGTCGGTAGGCAATGTGGTGTCTGTCCTTGGTCCTGGACCTGTCTGCCACAAAGACACAGCTGTGCGTGTTCAGTCGTGGGAATCGGAGAGTGTTGGAGGTTGCTCGGGGAGGTGGACGCGCTGGTGGCCGTCAGGCTTGGGGAATAACGGTGACAGGGGTTAGAGTCAATTCGGTGTCAGAAGTCCGTTTTTTGGGTATGACCTTTTAGTCCAACCTAGGATGGGGAAACCATGTCTCACAACTGGAGCGGAGATGTGCCAATTCTATGCGCACTCTCAAGTGCTTGGGTAGAACGTGGTGGGGTAGTGACCCCCGCCTTTTGCTCCGTCTTTACGGAGCACTGGTGCGGTCTAGGATCGAGTACGGGGGTTTTTTGCTTCATGGCCTCTCCAAGGGGATGGGCAGTCGTCTCGACAAGTTGCAGCGACGGGCGTTGCGAATTGTGATGGGGTATAGGACCTCTACTCCGGTGAATGTGTTGTTGACGGAGGCTCGAGAGCCTCCGATCTCTCTACGCTTTCGCTTTTTGTGTTGTAATTATCTCTCCAGGGTGGCCACGATGAACAACCACCCAGTTTGGAGCTTGTTAGGGGAGGTTCAGGCTCTTCTGCTCGCGTCACCAAACAGAAATCGGGTCGGCTCGCTTCCTCTTCTGGAAGCGTTTCGGCTGGTTAGCCGATAGTCCAGTTCGCTGTTTTCGTCTGGAGTCCCCGTCTGCTATTCTTTCGGTTTCGCCCCGCTGCTGTCTACTCATGATGTGGACCTGACGAAGGGGGCCTCTCTACGTCAGGGCCTTGACGTGGAGTCAAAGTTTCGTCGTCTGTTTCGTGATGAGTTGGACTCTTCCGTCTGCTTCTTTACCGATAGTTCACGGTCGGAGGGATCCCCCTTTTCGGGGTACTCGCTGGTATCGTTGGATGGCAGGTATATTCGGCGCTTTTGTTCGGTAGGATTCGTGTCGTCTTTTTGTGTTGAGGCTATGGCCATTGTGGAGGCCCTTCGTTTGGCGCAGGTGGAGAACTGGTCGGCGGTTACGATTTTCTCTGACTCTATGTTGGTTCTGTCAGCAGTGCAGACTCGTTTCAAACCGGGCCGGAGTTCTTATCTCGTCCTTTGGGTGAAGTCGTTACTTCTGGATTTAAATAGTAGGGGAGTTAAGGTCAAGTTAGTGTGGATTCCCGGCCATAGTGGGGTGCGGGGTAACGAGTGGGCAGACTCGCTCGCAAAGGATGCGGTCCGGTGTGGGAGGCCCTCCCAGGTGGGAGTGCCCCTGAGTGAAATTAAGAACTTCTAGAAAGCCGACTTGAGGACGGAACTGCTGTCTTGGTGTCGGAGCGAAGCTCCGACTCGGGGAGCCTACTACTGTGGTAATTTTTTGACAGACTCCCGGAGTACCTGGTTTGAATCGTTTGCTTTACCTCGCAGGGCGATTACGTCTATCAACCGCCTTCGCAGCGGCCACACCTCGTTACGTGCCAGTCTTTTCCGCTTTGATATAGTGGATTCGCCTCTGTGTCGAAGTTGTGCTCAAGAGGAGACTCTAATTCACGTGTTTTGGGAATGTCCCGCGTACGACAAACAATGCAAACTACTGTGCAGCCGGCTAGTGCGAGCAGCTGGCCTTCTTCCGCACCTCGTCGAATTCCTATTGACATGCTCTCACCAAGATATTGTTGCTGCGGTAAGCAGCTTTCTCTGCTCTATACCTCTCTTTATTTAACATATTTTACGTAAGTGGTCTGAGTGCAATGAGCATGGTTTTTACGATATTATGTTCTTTTAGTTAAGTTTCTTGTATACCTGTAACTGTATATCTTATGTTTTAGATCAGTAGACAGACTGTGGCCTTTGTGTTTTGTGTTATTTTAGTTTTATTTTTTATTCTTTTTGTTTATATAGTTTTTATCTTTATTATTTTATGTCTAATTTAAGATTCATGTAATGTCTATTGGCCACTGGTTACACGGGCCAAAGCGGGCTTCGGCCCCCATATATATATTGTGATGCGTAAGTGCACTTAAGAATTCCGCCACTCTCGTTGTGATACTTGTATATGTAAAGGAGGCGCACCCTATACATGTTCCTCCTCGATAGGGATTTTCATTTGATACCAGATGTATATTTTACGCACTGTATTTTACTCTAAGCCACATAAGCTAGCACTTGTGGCATGTACCTTTATTCTCCAATAAAAAAAAAAAAAAAAAAAGGGGATGGGCATTTTGTGCGCTGTACTTTATCCTAAGCCACATAAGCTAGTACTTGTGGCATGTACCTTTATTCTCCAATAAAAAAAAAAAAAAAAAAAGA